AGATTAAAAAAAAAAAACAAAAAACAAAAGCAAAACCAGAAAGGACACGTAGAATCATTGCTGACCTGCCCTCTTGTAGTATAGGGTGGAACGACCACCTTAACTCCTTATCCTTTAACCACCCTGCATTTTTAAATGCTGCTCTCGGCTCCATTATCCTTTGACCTTACACCTTAGTTTTCTTTGACTTTACCGTCAGAGAACCCAGGGCTCCTTGCATTCAGATGTTAACAACGTTAAAGGGGTGGAGGTTGGGACTGTGTTGAGAAAGCATAGTTGAAAAGTTAATTAAAGAATAATTTGTGGCTCTCGATTTGTAGATTAACCTAGCATTTTGAGCTCAGGTGAGTTTTTATACTATGGAGTAAGTGGAAAAGACTCCTAAGTAATTATGGCATCAGAAAGCTAGGCATTTAAAAACCCAAAGTATTTGACCTTAGTATGGCATTTGAAATGAAAAAATACTGGACACTGGCAGTTTTTGAAAGTGTAATCGATGCTCTCTAAAAACCAAGGTAAAATATACTTAAAACCTATGTTTTTAAGTATCAGCTCAGCTATCAGTGGATGACAAAATAGATTGGATTTTCCTTTCCCTGTGTGGTTTCTCCTTACTCCTAGGTAATATGTTTTATTAATACATGAAGGCAGTGATTTTTCAGCCTTTTCCGTATTCGTAGCTCAGACATTTCAGGACAGAGGATGAGTATTCTGGGGGGCAGTTCGGGCAATTAATCCTAAGTGGCCCTCCAATGTTGTAGATTACTTCTTTCCTATTTATGAGTAAGACTTCTGCTCTGTAGGATGAGCCTGTTTACCTGTGACTGCCTAACCTGACACATTGCTTTATGTTCCAGTTTTTAGAAGCAGGCAGATTATATTACCTGAATTAAAATGCTTTTGAGACTAAAGGTAGTGTCTTAAATTTTAACTTCCGAGTTTCCTTTTAGTACAACTTTGATTAAATGATGGGGATTTAGTTTCCATAGCTTCTGACATTGTTAAAATGGAAAGCAGGAAACATTTTATAGCAAAACCTGAACTTGTCTAGACTAAGTAGAGGCTGTGAGCAAAGATTTGTGTTTTTGTGTGTGCGTCATTGACAGATGAGCATGGTACCTTGAGCCATAATTGTTCTAGATCTCAAATTCCAACATCTACCAGTAATTATATTGTATAGTTACAGTAAATAATATTAAATCCCCAAAGTTACTTAGGTTTGCTTTATCTATGTTTTAAAATAATTTTTTGTGCTTTCAAATAGAAGTGTTACATGTTTTTCTGAATTAGATCACATTGTTGTAATTACAAAAGACTTAATCAGTCTGTATATGTTGTATGATAAGTCTTAAATTATTTGCACTGTTACCTAGTTTCTCTTCTTCCAATGTAAGTTTTTACTGGTTTAGTATATGTGGTTTATTTTCTCTTTAGGAAGCCATCATTCTTCCGAGGGCAATGAAGGAACAGAAATGGAAGTACCAGCCGAAGGTTAGAAATGAAGGGATTTTTAATTTTCTATATTTGTATTGCTTGCTCTCTATTATAGAGAATATTACCCTTCAAGCACCTTATTGGGAACCAAAAAGATGATTGTTTTGGTATGCCTTCTTAGCCAACAGGTTTACTGTTTTAGTCCTAAGATGTAATATACATCTTTTACTGTATTGAATAATAAAGCGTATGGGGATGAAAACATAAGCGGTAAGTAAAACTCTTCATGCTGCAAAATGCTGCCCTTTTTCCTGGTCGTCTTGTGCCATATTAAGAATCTCTTAGGAAAGAGTGACTTCAATGTTTTAGACTTAAAAATATGACTGGCTTCTGTCGATATTTCATTCTTAAACATATTATTTAATGGTACCGTTTTTTTAAGTAGGGTAGTATTTCCACATAGGATTAATAGAGGAGGGATTTTCTCTCTGCTGATTTTTATACCCACAATTACCCTGGGGAACTCCTTTGTCTGTTTACCAGCCAGTCCTCCTTTGATCGTAGCATTAAGTGAAAATTTAACTGTGGTACAGCTTTTTAAATTCTTGCAACCTTGAGTTGAAACTGTTATCATGCAGAATGACTTCCTATTTCTAAGCAGTTTATATAGCTCCAAAAGAATTCTTAGAGCTTTCTCCCAAGGAAAATGATAGGTGTGAGGTACCTGAATTTTGTTTTAGTATTATTATTTCTCTCATAAACTGATCATGTTATGTCTTTATTTTTTTTTTCCTGGAATAAAAAGGGAGGCTATTCTGTAAATTTTTATTCCTTATATTTGCTTTTTTATTTAACTTTTTTAAATCATTCATAAATTTCCACCTGAGTAGAGGGAGAGCTCAAGATCCCTGGAATGTTGACTAAGCTTTCCAAATTCAGTTTTAGAATTAGGGTCTCTAACTGAGAAACATTTCTTGCAGAGATACCGAGATGCTCATTTTCAACAATATTTTACATTTCTTTTTGAGATCTTTTTATAGAAAATTATGTGGATGAATTTTTTTCTGTTTTACCGGGTGGAGGTAACTAGATGTTTCCTTTGTAACAAAATCTCTGTTTTAGATGTGCGGTATATTTGCAACAGTGAAATACCTGTGTACAGGACACAGATGGTACACGGCTTCTTCAGGCAGTCTGCCTTGCTTCATCGTCCACAATTTGGTCATTAGATACTAGGCTTTGAAATACTTGATGTTTGAGATTTTTATTGTCACATTGCACTATGAACAGAGTTGAGTCATACCTGGGTTCTGGTCTCTATTCCTTTACTAACAAGTAAACATAATCTTTGGCAAATCAATTAATCTCTCAACCTTTGCAAAATGAAAAGAGAGTTGATGGTGATGCTCTCTAGCTGAGCTTTCTAGCACTAACATTCTGATGTACATTTGTTTTGTGTAGTAACAACTATAAATAAAGTATCTAAGTTTTAAAAGGATGTTGCATATATAAAGGTAGGGGATAGAGCCCTGTATGCATTTGTCCTAGTCATTGGCTTGGTAGGAGGGTCCCCAAAGCAAAAGATTGATTGTGGTTTTATTTAACAATATAAACCCCTCCTAGGACTTCTGAAACGAGAGGGGAAATAGCAAACAGAAGAGAAAAAAAGCCTTTGGTTTTATCCCAGCATCTTCTAGTTCCAGCAGGAAAGCAATAGGGATGCCATTATAATCTCCTTCCTCTAAAACCTGAGTGTTTTGAGTCCATTGATGCAGGTAACTTGGTATTATCAAATAGTGTTCCCGAGTTTTCCTATTTTCTGTTTTCTCTCCTCCCTGTTTACGATGAAAAGGGTCAGATATTTTAACCTAACAAATACGAGATGAATTCAAATGCCAGTAAAATTTCATATAGTAGGCTGCTTTTTGAGTAACAAATGAGTAAAATGTTGGAACATATAGAAAGTGCTTTATAACGAATGTCATTTTAGAATTTTATTTTTTTCAAGATTCTACTCAGCATGTCCCTTCAGAAACAAGTGAGGACCCTGAAGTTGAGGTGACTATTGAAGGTTAGTTGTCTCAAAGCCTTGATTCCAAAAGTTCACTTCTGGTCATAAACCTATTTGTCACATTCACATGGCTAAGTGTGCATCTCATTCATTCTTCAAGGTAGCTTGTGAAGAGAAGTGCAGCGTCTCTGTGTATGTGTGAGCAAAGCAGCCCGCTTCCCCGCAGCGCGGCCGGGCCTTTGGGAGTGGTAGACAACACAGGAGGCCGCAGGCGCGAGCGGTGGCCCGCACGTGGACCAAGCTATGCTTTTCTACCCCCAGGACCCGAAAATAGACAAACGAGAACCATGACCAGACCTGATGGTGCTCGCAAACAGATTTTATGACCTTGGTTGAGTCGTGATAGAAGAGAGCAAGCTAGTAACCCAGTGAGGTGGAAGGGAAGGTGTGGACACTTAGTTACTCCTTCGCGTTTGCCCCTAGAATACTGTCGAAGGCTAACACACAATCTGTCTTTAAAAACTGTTTTTGAAGCCATACCGATAAATACATTCTCAGGTAATACCTGTAACTAACGGGGCTTCAAACCTGGTTTTTCTTCCAAGGTAATGCATGAATGAAGATGAGCCAGAATGATTTATAAATTCAGCTAATAGAATTAACAGTCTCACTTTTCATATTTCATAATTACCAAATGCACAGTGATATTTTTCCTACTCAGTTAATGTCTCATACCACTCCTCTAAGAGCCCCCCGCCCCCCCCAGGAGTAGCTCTTCCCTAAGGTAAAATATGGAAACACTACAATAAATTGCACTATGTCAAGTTTTCTTTACCTCCTGCCTTGTTTTAAAGTCCCCAAACTCAGGGGTAGATGTCAGTTTATTGTATATACATGTAAAAGTAATTTTGTGTATAAGTACACATGTATGTGTATATTTAGTTTCACAAAAATATATGTGTTTGCAGCATGCAGCATTATAATGAATATTTGAAATACACCTACATCATATTTCCAAAGAATCCCTCCTCCCCTGCCCCATCTTGGTGTTCCAGTTTTGGGGTTTTTTTTTTTTTTTTAAACTGCTACCTAACCTTTCTTAGTTTGATTTCTTTCTCTCTCTCTCTCTCTCTCTCTCTCTTTCTCTGTCTCTCTGTCTCTTTCTCTGTCTCTCTCTCTTAATAACCTGTCTCCTGTTGTCATTTGGTTATTTATCGTGTCTGGCTATTTCATACTACTCAAAATGTCTGTCTTCATTGCTTCTAAGATATAAACTGATGATTCTCATGAGTATTTATTTCATACTTCATTTGTTAATCTCAATTTCATATACATATTTCTTTTATTAATATAATTTTACTAACCTAAAAGCAATTTTGAATTGTTTGTAGTCAGCATTAAATAATTGAATTTAATTGCTTTTTAGTTAGAAGTCTCATTAATTTTCAGAGAAGAACATCTTACGAACATATAAATATTCTACACGCTCAGACCTTTGTCCTTTCTGTAGAGAATAAGAGAAATAGATGATTATTAAAATTATTAGAATAAAACTTTTAAATAGGACCAGTAACCCATTAGATTTATGAATCCTTAAAGCAGATACAGACTATATTAAAATTGTTTGGAAAATAAATGCTTGCTTTTATAGCAAGAGACCTTTAAAGACAATCATGGAGTAAACGGCTTGTGAGCCTAACGCATGTCAGTCTCTTCAATCCTAACTCTTTGGAGGGAGAGATAAATCTTGGTTCTTTGAAACTAAGACCTACGCCAGAAGTTTGATTTGCCATCCAGATTTATTAACGAGTAGTAGCGTTTCTTTACTATGTTCGGAAGACCAGTGAAATGCCAGAAGACTGCAAAATAATTGCTTTTCAGGCTGTCCTTTTCCACGGCATATACATTCAGGCACATGATATGGATCAGCCTTAATTAAATTGATAATTAACTTTTCATCCATACATTAAGGAAGGTAAACTCTAAGTGTGATATTAACAAGGAAGGTCAAATGAGAACTTACATACACATGTGTTTGATAAGCATATTGTATATTTTTTCTGGAAAGATGACTGCGAACCGGTGGATACTAGTTAAATATCGTTAGAAGATAAAATGTACTGTGTAGAAAAGTGCACGGGCATGGAAATAGTGCGGTTGGTTTTTTGTTTGGTTTGCTTTGAAGTAAGTGACCTGAAAAAAAGACCCCTACTGTAGTAAGTTTTGAGGTTGGAAAATCCCTGCCTTTCATGAACAAAGCAAGTTGGAAAGGAAAAGTGTATCTAGAGACTGGTGTTAGTTTTGTTTTGGAAAATTCTGTGCTTTAGAGCAAATAAATGAAGGTAATCCTACTTGCCTGGGGATAACTTTGATTTTCTCCCATTGTGTCTCTTTGCGCTTCCCAAGTAGTTTCTAGAAAAGAAAGAAAGAAAAAAAAAAGAACTTGCCATCAAGTAAGTTTGTTAGATTTTCCATCGGACTTTATCGTTGATCTCTGTTTTTGAAATTATGTAGGGATAACGAAGAGGCCCGTTTGGTATTACCGCAGATGCTGACCTAGGATCACAGCCCTGCCCATCGCTGGCGGTGTGCTCCTACTCGTGCACCCCCGCTTGTCCCGGAAGTCAGTGTACGCATCCCGGCTTGTATGGCTTCGGTCTGGGAAACAGCCTTCCGAATAATGTGACCAAGCCTGCCTTCATTTAGCCAACATCATGCCCACATTTTGGGGGGACCAGACTGCTGACAGGTCTTTGCTAAGTGTAGAGAAAATCATATTTCAGAATTGTTGGGTTTAGCATGTTAATAAAGGAAAGTTCTTTTGCCTCAAAGAGAGGTTTCCTTATCATACACTCGTCTCAGGGCATCGGTCGCCAAACCTGAGCCATTCACACATGTGCGTTCTGCTGTGGCCTCACCTCCTGTTCGTGTCTTACCCTCGTTTTTTCTTTAAGGTGATTGTAAAGAGATTCACTTAGAAATTAATCCTTCATCTTCTTCAGTAAAACTGTGTTTGAAATACTCAATTTTATTTCTCATGTACATGGAAACGTACACATAAATATTTCAACCCAGGAATGTAGTCCCACACGGACTGTAATTGGAGAACAGTTTTAGAGCTTCAGCAGCCGGATTACTCGTCGTCCTCTGTTGGTATCCTTTTCTGTGATATTCATGTGTAGGACCTTCGTAAATTTTGGGCTACCGCTTGTAATTAGGACTCCACTGCTCAAGTACTCATTTCGTCCTTCTGTGGCTGCCAGGGGGCTTGTATGTGCCCCAGCCGCATAGGTGCCAAGGACTGAGGAGTGAACGAGATAGGCAGGTCCACCTGGAGGGTTCTGGGCGAGATGTTCTGTCCTTCACTTTGAAGATAGAACGCTGCTTTGTTCTCCTTTGTGAGAGACCGAGAGCAGGCCAGAGCAGAAGCCGGAAAACCGGCTTAGCAGGCTGTTGTAGGTAGCCACCCAGGGCTGGCTGGCTGTCTGGGAACAGGAAGGTGGCAGTGGAGGTAAAAGTGGGTGAATTCCGGGCGTGTCCTGAAAGTGGAGCCCGTAGGCTTTGCTGTTCGTCAGTGTTTACTTGCTGTGCTGATCGTGCAAACGTTCCTGGCACGTTCATAGCATCTGGATGATTGAGGAGGTTAGTATTTGAAATGTTTGTGTTTTCACTTTTGTAACTGCTGAAGAGTCACTTAATGAAATTGCAGTTATTTATGTAGAGATTAGAATTTTAGAGTTGGGACCTGGGTCCATGGGTGAAAACTGGTATCCATTAATTTGAAACGGGTAATGTAATTCTTAACGGCTCTGCCTAATTTCGAAGGGGATACAGTGCCTAGTTTATTTCAATTCTTAAAACATAGCTATCACATTGTATGATGAAAACATTAGCATTTGAGTATGTTGCACATAAGAGTATCAGAAAATTTGTTTCATGTTCTATTAATGCATTCAGCTTTAAGAATGCCATAATACATTTGATCTCAGAAGTCTCAGAAGTCTGTATTATCCCTAGGTGTGTTTGTAAATAATGTTGCAAAAAAGAGACGGGGGGGGGGGGGGGGGGGGGGTTCTAAATATAAGTATTGAGTCCCGGACCGTCGCTGCCTTTTTTCAAGATGTGGTGGGTGCTTGTGTTAGTACTGGCAACATGGCGCCTAAATACTCGCGCATAGCAACCTTTTCGCATTAAAATATTTTGAAATTTATCTTACAAGCTTTTAGTATCGATGAAGTAAACCTTTTCAGTTTGGGCTTGAATTTGAAGCTCCCTGAACTTATGTGTCTTTTAACACAAAAGTGGTTGCTCCCACATTATAATGTGGGAAATACCACGATAATTAGGACGCCAGCGTTCTCTCTGCGGGGCCTGGTTAAAAGATAGAGGCAAACATTTAGAGCTCTATTTGGTATTTTTCCTGCAGAGAAGTAGGTAATTTTGATCCTTTGTGGAAAGGATTTCGAGGTCAAGAATAACATTTTCTCATGCTCTTCGCAAAAGAAATTACAGGTTTTTTTGTAGCAAAGAGCGGAGAAGACCACGGGAGATACGGGCAAGTTCGTAGCTGATCTTTTGATTTTGTTCCACGTGTCACATAATACAAAACACCCCAAAAGTGATTATGAAATGGGATAGTCTTTTACTAGAATGTGTGGTAATATATTTTATTATCACAAATAATTAAATCCATCTCTCTGCATTTGTTCACATGTATAGGTTGAACGTCATTATTTCTGGCTGGAGAGAAAGAAATGAGATACCACTTTTTAATATGTTCCAATCTGTTCCCTCATTTGTCTGGTTCGAAAATATTCCCCTAGATTTGTCTTTGTTCTTTTTTTTTTTGTCTTGATGGTTAATGAGGTTGCGTTTATAAAATATGTTTATCCTATGAAATCTTTTATGGTCTAAAATAAACTGATTCAAGGGGTTTTGACAACGCTCTTGTGCCCTTTCCCCTTGGCCTCCGTTTCAAAGAGTTTGTAGTAGAGATCAATATAATAGATTGCTGGGATCTTTCATTACCACCCTCTAGCTCTCTGGTTTTTTTGGTTTTTTTGGTTTTTGTTTTTTTTTTTTATTCTCTTTCAGTTTTCATTTTATGTAATTCGGTTAACAGCTCAAATGATGACTGTAGAAATAGTTAGGTTACATTAGCCTACAGGGACAGTCCTTTTGTTTTTAATGTCATTGCTTAATGTTTTTAAAGAAATGTTAACATGACGCATTTAAAATGCTTTGACACTTGGGTGCCTGGCTGGCTTAGTTCTTAGACCCTTGATCTGAGGGGTCATGAGTGTGAGCCCCGTGAGGGGCATAGAGATTACTTAAAAATTAAGAGAAAATGGTTTGACACTATTCATAGGTGAAACGAATGTCTTTTGTTTTACCTTATACCAACTAGCATCAAAATATACTTAGGTTTCTAAAACTGGGAGTTGAAAAAGATGGGGTGGTTTTTTTCAGTATGTTTTCCCAAATGTGTCTTTGTAGGTTGAATTTAATTACTTGATAGTCTTTTATAGCCTCTTGACCATTTTTATAGCCATTTGACCACTAATCCTTGTAGTAATTAAATAGGCCCAGATGACACGGGCTAGTTTTATTTTACTAGTAGTTTGTAACTTTGAAATCTTTTATGGTAGGTTTACTTTTGTTCTGGATTTGAACAAGGGTTTCTACAGTGGCAGTTAGCACCTGGAAGTTATAGTGTCGTAAATCGTTCATCTGATAACATTTCCCTAAAGTAGCATCCCCCAAACGTAGCATCTTGGTCTTTCCCAGCTCATAAATGGGTCCTGATGTGACTTGATCTGGTATTGGTGACATTGGTGACTTTTTCTCCTATTGGATAAAATAATCAGTAAATGATTTCAGGTTACTGGAATATTGGTTGGCATTAGAGGAAGAACCCAGAGTGCACGAACCAGGGGGACAGCGTCTGATTGTGCTCTCTGCTGCTGTGATGGGACCGACATACAAGTATTTTAGGCTTCGGTCAAATTTCCCCTTGCACGTTAAATGTACATACCAAGGACATAAAAGTTACATGTGGCTGTCCCAGGCAACGTCATATGTTTGGCCAGATTTGGATTTCTTGTTGCCTCTGCGAGAGTAACGCATTAGTCTGCTGGTGTGAGTTCCGGTTGGAATCTAATCTCGGCTGCTTTGGCGAGTGCTGTTACATGGTTACTTAGCTTTCCCTGAGCCGGTGTCTTGAACTGTCAGGTGACAGTGAGAAAGACCTAAAAGGGGACCTGTCTTACCTGCGTGGCATCTTTTGGTGACGGCCTTTAACACAGTGGCTACTTCTCCTCTACCCCATATGTAGTTTCCAGTATGGATTTCTCAGAGTGAGGTTTTTAGTAATTTATGGATGAGCTTTGAGCATAACTCTTAGTACTGTGCCACGTGACATTTTCAGGGGCTAGAGAAAAGATGACGTTGACAGCTCTTACTTTATTCCGATGTCCTTAATTCACGTACTAGCTGAAGTCCTAGCAGAGTTGAGCTGCAGACCTGTCCGTGAAGAGGTTGGCATGAACTCACGCTACAAACGTCTACAAACATCTTAAGTAGTCCACGTTCCGTACTGAAATCTCTGATTGCTCATTTCTGCTAGGTTTTGTCTTCACTCAGTCAGTATTATCTGTTTCACAGATAACGTAGCCGCCCTGTTTCATTAATTCTGTAAGTTTTGTGTTTGTTCAAAGTGTTCGACGTGTAGTATCCGCCCTCCCTGTTTATGCATGCCTGGATTTTGTGTAAGCTGGAGCATTTTTCTCTTCAAGCTATATATTTCCTCCCCTTTTTCTTATGTATTTGTATAATTGTAGGTATCTGTGTCTATCAAAATCTTTTTCTTGAAAGGCTTCAAAGAAACTGTAATCCTAGGAACCGAGAGGAGTTAGGGGAGAAGGGAGATTTATGAGGATGTGATTTGAAGAGAGCAAACGAAAGAAAATGAAGTAAGGCCAAGGAAAGTGAGGAATGTTCACCTGAGCACATCACCCAAGAGTAGGGAACCTGCAGGCGTGCCTGGGAAGGAATAGGCCGAGAGGGACCCTACTGATGGCTGCTGCTACGCGCGCGTGTAAAGCCCCCTCCCCCCATCCTTTTGAATGTTGAGTATTGAGCAGACGGTGGCCCTAACTCACTTAGACTGTTCCTCCAGTGATGACGGTTTTCTTTTTCAAGATGATGATTACTCTCCACCTACCAAGAGACCAAAGAGCAGCGAGCCGCCCCAGCCACCAGTCACGGAGCCTGCCAATGCTGGGAAGCGGAAAGTGAGGGAGTTCAACTTCGGTAGGTTCTGGGTCAAATACAGGCCCCTTTGCTCTCTGTCCTTCCAAATGCTTTCTGTTCCTGATCAGAGTTCTAGCCTTTCTTTTTGGGGGGAAGGGGGTTGCTTTAAAATGTATAGTTAGGGACGCCTGGGTGGCGCAGTCGGTTAAGCGTCCGACTTCAGCCAGGTCACGATCTCGCAGCCCGTGAGTTCAAGCCCCGCGTCGGGCTCTGGGCTGATGGCTCAGAGCCTGGAGCCTGTTTCCGATTCTGTGTCTCCCTCTCTCTCTGCCCCTCCCCCATTCATGCTCTGTCTCTCTCTGTCCCAAAAATGAATAAACGTTAAAAAAAAAAAAAAAAAAAAAAAATTAAAAAAAAAAAACATTTAAAATGTATAGTTAAAACATTGAACATCTCCATTTTTTAAATAGCATTTTAGTATTTTAATTTGTCATAGTCCTAAATACCGGATTTAAATTGAATTTATATAGATAGTAGTAAGTTTACATGGCACTCTAGTTTAGGTTGCAACTGTATGTAGATACTTATTTCCACACAACTTAGACATGTTTTAGAAGGTTTCCTGAACGACCTTGGAGCCCTCCCTCTTTTCTGCCTCCACCGTACAGTGTTTAATTGGACTGGTCTTTTCTGTCCTGCTTTTCAGAAATTATCAGGCTAAAAAGAGGTATTCAGTAAGAAGTGTTTCAAAAATAAACTGTAAACCATCTCTTAAAATCTCTTATTGGACCAATTCTAAGAACCACAAAAAAGGGAAAAGTTCTTAAGAAAGCAATAAAATTATATAGATGGAGTTGGATTATTAGCAATTAGGACTGGAGTTACCTGGCCACCTCATTCGGTGCAATGTGTGATGCTGGATTTCAGGGTTGTGAGTTCGAGTCCCACGTTGGCCGTAGAGATTATGTAATAAAAAATTAGGGGAGTTGCTTGGGTGGCTCAGTCAGTTAAGTGTTCAACTTCGGCTCAGGTCATGATCTCGCGGTTTGTGGGTTTGAGTCCCACGTCGGGCTCTATGCTGACAGCTCAGAGCCTGGAGCCTCCTTCAGATTCGGTGTCTCCCCTGCTCTCTGCCCCTCCCCCGCACTCTGTCTCTGTGTCTGTCTCTGTCTCTCTCTCTCAAAATAAATAAATAAACATTGGGGGAAAAATTAGAAAAAAATTAATTTGAATGTATGATGTAGAAAATAAGTCATTAGGTGTTGGGTCATCTCAACACAGCAGTGCCCCCAACGGGGATTCCTCATTGAGATGTAACTGTGACTCCCAATTTTTCAGAGAAGTGGAATGCTCGAATTACTGATCTCCGTAAACAAGTGGAAGAGTTGTTTGAAAGAAAATATGGTAAGTCTGAACTCAAAAATTCTTGAGTAGTTTGTTGAAAAGCATTTTAATAATGGGGTTACTTTTCAACCAGTGTACGAAAGGCCGCTTCTCCCAGTGAAGTGTGCCTTACTCGCATATGTGTCCGTCGCAAGGTCATGGGTAGGGTCCGTCCAGATGTTACAGACCTTGTCACTAGGAAGCCTAGGGAAAGTTTTGTTTCTGTGGTTATCAGTTAGCATTTCCTGTAATCCTTCTGCTTGCGCGTTTGGGAGTTCATGTACATATTTGTTGCACCCTGGACAGCTAATTGAAGATAAAATTCTTCAGTCATAGTCTTTCTTAATCCACTGTGTTAAGTCCAGTATTCAACTAGATGTCCTTATTTGCTCTGCTATTGATGCATAATTGTTTAAGTTAGGTCTCACATTCTCCTCTCCTTTTCGTATTCTATCCTCCATCTATCTTTAGTGACCAACCAGTGTTATTACTGGTCGGCATATATTAAATTCTCACCTAAAAATAGCAACCATCGCTGGGGAGTATCAGCTGTTTCGCTGTGTTTTTATTTGGAGGATTCTTTACTTTGCAGTTCACTGACAGTCTTTAAATGGGTCAATATATTGAATTTTTTAACTTGAAAATCCTATTTTTAGGGTGCTCTCCGGTATCACTGAATTGCTTTGGGTGAATTTCTTACATGATAAACTACACTGACATTATTGACTTTACTAAACTTGAAATAATAGCTCCTGTACCCTTTTCATGGATGACAGCTGACCTGTCAGCGAAGATTTAGAATGAGAGGAAATTCAGTAGCAAATTCAGTAACTTGCCCTTAATGCATTCACTTATTTTCTCCAGGTTCTCTTAGTAGTTCTCCCTCTCCAGAAGCCGTAGCTTTTTGCCTGTGGTTTTAATCGACCCACTTCAGAGCAGAGACTCCCCTAATTCGCTCTACATTAAGCACTGTCCCGTGCTGCTAAGGTCCCGGGCCCTGGGACATAAGGCTTGGCCGTTCCCCTTCATCCTCTCCGAGCCTTGCTGTCCTCTCCTGTGAAACGGTCAGGAGAGCGTAGATGTGCTGGGAAGATGTAAGGAGACAGACAGCGTAGTGGGTGTAAAGAGCTTCCTGTAAGTGGTGTGTAAGTACACAGAAGGTGCTCTCTGTTTATAGCTGTGTTATTATAGACTTAACGCAGTCCTGTTTCGAGGAAGAAGAATTTACTGTCATAACAGTTTTATAAATCTCACAAAGAGAAGCACAAATTATGTTTTTGCTTTTGTTGTGATGGTGATTCATTTCGTTAGTTTGCATATGAGAAAATAATGCTTACCAACCATTATTAGATGACAGGCACGGTATTCACATTTTACAATTTGAAACCGTTTTAATGGTAATCACCCCAAGGAAAGATATTTTCCTTGTTCTGTGGGAACGGATTTTCGCGTGCACGGTGTAAACAAAGGATATTAACCGTGACTCCGTATTAACGTGTACCGTGGTGAATGTGAAACTCAAGTACAAGTATTAATGTTCAGCAAACAGACGAATTTCACATAAATTACTAGGAAAAAAGAGCAGCTGTTCTGCTGAGGGGGATTCCCGTGGGAGGAGAAGGAAGAAAGGGAGTGCACAGAAGTCATTTTCCTTTGGGGACTTGGAGCCTTTTCGCCCGTCCTTAGCGGCTCTGCTGTTCTTACGGCGCACACTCGCTAGAAGACTTTTTCTGTGACTCCGCTGTGTTCGTGAACGAAGTAGAAGCCTTTGCGAGAAGAGCGATGCGCGTCTGCTCTGCACTCATAGGACACTTGGCGTTTGTTTGACTCCGTATCAAAAGGTTTAGCTGTGAAAGTTTTAATACTGTCGACCAATGTGCCTGTGTTGTGGATGAGCTCACCTGATGCTTTTCTAAATCTTTTTATTCTGGAAATTTCCAAACAAAAAGAATGTAAATGATGTTAAGACCCTCTAAGTATCCACCACCCAGATTCAAGTATTTTCCTTGTCCGCTCTCTCCTGTCCCATCTCTTTCTGATGCAAGCCTGTTTTAATATTTTAAACCTGCAGTGTCCCGGACATCTTGTCATTTTAGCTCTAACAAGTCTATATTTCAAAATGGGGAATTGAGGGGGTGCTTGGCTGGCTCATTCAGTAGAGCGCGCCATTCTTGATCTTGGGATCGTGAGTTCGAGCCCCACCTTGGTCATAAAACTTACTTGGAAAAAAAAAATTTCAAAATGGGGAGTTGGGTGAGAGGAAAGCATGGTCTTAATATCAGTTCCACCATCACGCCTGGAAACGCTACCCTGCTGTTTAGAAAACCTGATCCTTTGCAGTTTGTTTGATGGAATCACCAAGGTCTTTCTCCTTCTATTTGATTCCTAAGAGTCTCCGTGCTTTTTTGACCTGTAGCTGCTGTATTATTTTACCTTTGGATAAATCAATCTTGGCAGAAGCTTTCCAATTAAAAAAATCCTCTGCGTGAGTTATTTCATTAAAAACTCTTTTCTTACACTAATGTTTATTGTTGAAAAATTTTACTGTATGTGTTAGCTGATGTTTACCAACGTGTTTTTGTGGCTCATGGGTGGTTCAGGTTTCAATAGGACATCTGGCTGCATCTACATGACTCAGAATAATCCACTATTTGATTGCAGATTGGGTTAGAGTACCGGCACCTTTGGTGTTCTTTCTCTTTTAGTTCTTTTGTACTATTTTTCTTGTGATGATTCAGTTACAGTAAGCAGAAGTAAAGATAAAGCTATAAAACATACAGAGCAGTACGTGTTCATTTATTCTGTTGTACAATCTGTGGTTAATCCTTGTCATTGAATGATTTTTCCTTTCTCTTTTTATCCTTAAAGCTCAAGCTATAAAAGCCAAAGGTCCTGTGACGATCCCGTACCCTCTTTTCCAGTCACACGTTGAAGATCTTTATGTAGAAGGACTTCCGGAAGGAATTCCTTTTAGGAGACCGTCTACTTATGGAATTCCTCGCCTTGAGAGGATATTACTTGCAAAGGAAAGGATTCGTTTTGTGATTAAGAAGTAAGACTCTGGACTCTCATCTTTGTTCTTTAGTGCATCTTTCTCTATTGTTACCAAACATTCATCAATCTCTAGGGCTACATCTTAATTAGATTGAGTTATATATTGTTTTACTTACCACTTTTGAATGTGTCTGTGGACAAGATTTTCGTGGTCATGCCCAGAGTTGGCTCTTGGAACATGAATACCTGCCTGTATGTGATTCCCACATAGCTGTCATGTTCTTTTTCCAGTTTGCTGCTAAGTAAAGGAATCACTAGAATATAAGAAGTAATGCAGTACCAACCAATATCAGTAAAACAGTGTCTTGATTTTAGATTTGAATTAAAAAATTTTTTTTTGTAATGTTTATTTCAGAGAGAGAGAGAGAGAGAGAGAGAGAGAGAGAGAGAGTGAGAGTGAGTTGGGGGCAGGGGATGCAGAGAGAGAAAGGGAGACACAGAATCCGAAGCAGGCTCCAGGCTCCGAGCTATCAGCACAGAGCCCAATGTGGGGCTCAAACTCACGAGCCTTCGAGCTGTGAGATCACGACCTGAGCCCATGTCAGGTGCTTAACTAACTGAGCCACCCAGGTGCCCCTAGATCTGAATTTTTAAAAGCATATGTGGAAATGCATGTAAGTTATAAAATTAAAAATAAGTGAAACCATGGAAGAACGGAAAAAAAGCCTAAGGTAGCAGAATGCTATAAATTCCCTAAGGCCTGGCATAAAGGGTCCAATAAGGAGCTCTTATAAAAGCGTCAGTGCAGTAGTTGTGATTGGGAACGTAAATGCTTGCGTTTAAAACTGGCAGCCACATTACACACTCATAGTTTCCGCTGGGATTCTGTTAAGATTAAAGTGAAAGGTTTACAAAACTGAGGACATTTGCAACAGATGAAGAAAGATGGAAACTTCCTGTTACATCCATGAAGCAAGTACTACATGTATTTATAAAGGGGAATGGATGGAGAATAGTTTTTCGGAAATTATAAAATATAATTGCTACAGTATAAGTTTTCACTTAAAAGGCTGGATGCTGGTTAGTCCTGTAAATTGTAAAAGTTGTATGTATGAGACATGAAAATGTTGAGTCTTTATCTAGTGACATCCGACTTAGAAGTATCAAAAATGAATGACCGTTATTTTCCGAGCCCGTAAAAATTACAGAGCAGGCTAAGCATGAGACAAAGAAAGCTATATACCTTGCCACACCTCATGATGTCCTAGTGCCCTAAGGATAAGGGAAAAAAATCACTAGGTTTTAGAGAATAAGACCAGGTTATTCATAAAGAATGAACCGTCACAGTGACAGCAGTAATGGATATTAATGCTGTCAAGCCGTTCTCCCTGTTTTCTAAGTGCAAATGATGGGAGCCAGCCAAACTTGCCAAGCATTTGTGAAAGGAAAGAGAGACTTTTTGACATGGGAGAGGTGGGGTAGCAGTTAGGATCTGCAGCAGTAAGGGACAGAAATCCCTAAGTCAGTCAACCTGATACAGTTAACGATGCTTCTCTCGCCTCATGAGGAGGTCAGAGGTAGGATGGTTAAAAGTGGTACTTGGAGCTCTCACCAGATTCTTCCTTCCTTGGGCTGATCGGTTCCTTAGAGCAGCCGTGAACGGGATGCAGTAATCTAGGCCTCACAGCCAGGCAGTGTATGGGGAAGAGACAGTAACTACCTGTGTTTCTCTTGGAAGGTGGCCTTATTTTCTCTGGTTGGAATTCTGTCAAGTACTTATTCTTCAACCAGGTACAGGCATGAGAAAGCAGCTCTTAGGGGTTTAGACCAAGAGGTACTCCTGCCCCAGGGAGGGCCGCTGGGTTTGCTTCTTTTGGAAGACTTGGCTTTCATTTTAAGTCCTTCTATTGGAAGTGAGTCTTTTCGAATTTGTGTGCGTATTATAACTGATTTTGAAACTTTTTCCTGACGTAGCTTGAACTCTAAACGGTAAAGTGAATAAAAGGAGTGGGATAATAGTATTGTTGGTAGACGTGTCCAGCTTCATTACATTGGGAACACTGGTACTGTTGAAAAAGTGAGGAATTTAACGACCACTCTGATCAGAGATGACAACCAAGCATGCTGGCCTCTCGGTGTTCAGTGAGGGGATGACCGCTTTTGAGATTTAACGAAGGGTGGAAAAGACCCAAGAGGCACCGCAAGATAATAAGTGAGCTGTCCTCCTCAGAGAGGAACTTGTTGCTAACCGTTAGTTTTCCTTCAAGTACATTGTAGTTTCAAGATGCAGTAGACTCCAGAAATTGAATTATAAACCAGATGGCGGCCCTGTAAACGCTACGGCCCTGACCCTGGCCAAGAACCATAAACAGGCGTCCCCTTCCCCCTGGATGTTGATACATAAAGAAGTTTGAAGTTTTTTTTTTTTTTTCAACGTTTATTTATTTTTGGGACAGAGAGAGACAGAGCATGAATGGGGGAGGAGCAGAGAGAGAGGGAGACACAGAATCGGAAACAGGCTCCAGGCTCTGAGCCATCAGCCCAGAGCCCGACGCGGGGCTCGAACTCACGGACTGCAAGATCGTGACCTGGCTGAAGTCGGACGCTTAACCGACTGCGCCACCCAGGCGCCCCAGAAGTTTGAAGTTTTAAGAACTCTTTTGTACTGTCATTTTATTGGGTTGTTCCTAACGTTAGAGGTTTTGAATCTGTGTTTAAGTAACACTATTTAAAGAACACAGGCAAATTATTTTATTAGGTATTGCTCTCATTTGCTAACCTTAAAGTGTACAGAACTATGTTTGGATGTTTAAATGTTAATGCAGGCTTATCACGGGATGCTCTATGCTGCCCGCATCCTGTTTCGAGTCCGTTCAGTATATTCCTTCATGGCAGGCCATCCTCCACATTTGGAAGGGACTTCTTAAATAAGCCTTTCCCTAACGGTTACTGTGGTTAGTCTTGATATATGTAAAGTCTTTTGTTTATTTAGAAGGATATTTCTATAGAGTTTGGCAGATGTTTTGTTTATAGGTCACTAGTGTTATTTAAATATTATATATGCACTATTGACTCTGTCCTATGCTACTTTGCAGCATTTCTGAGATGGTTGTTAAAATAGGCGTGGTCCTGCTGATATCTGAGCCAGTTCCCAATCCCCCCACTAGCAACACTAGACTTTCGACCATTACATCAAAATGGCATGATTGCATATATAAGTTGGATTATGGGAATTCTGTGATCTAGAAATTATTTCCTGGGAGGTTTTTGTAATTACCAAAAAGAAAACCAAACCCCAAAAAACTTATAATCTGTCTCACAAATGTGTTAGTATTAAAATATATTTAGTATCCTTATAATCAATTTATAGATACGTTGAACTGAGTGAGTCTTGAATATAATGTAAAATTAAAGGCTCTTACTTAAAGTTTTTATGTTCGCTTCTTTTGGTGGTAACGCTTTTTATAAGATCCCTTTGGGTCGTAAAGTGAATGAAGGACACATGGTCCAAGAAGCACCTTATTGAACAAGTTGCAATTTCCATTTTGTTTTGTTACTCTCTGGAAATCTCCGGAAATTAAGGTTTAATTGTGCTCAAGAGCCCAGATTGTCTCTTCTTTTTAAAACTGGCCTTCACGACTGAATATCAAATAAGTGCTAGTAGTTACTGTTTTTGCCAAATATTGCCTGGTAAATACTTAGTATTTTTTCCTCACCTTTCAGACATGAACTTCTGAATTCAACACGTGAAGACTTACAGCTTGATAAACCCGCTTCAGGAGGTAGGTCTCCAGTCTTGTTTCAACCCGTGTGTCAGATCAGGGCGCCTGGCTGGCTTGGTCAGTGGAGCCTGACACTCTTGATCTCCGGTTCTTGAGTTCAAGCCCCACGTTGGGTGTGGAGATTACTTTTTTTAAAAAACCGTGTCAACTCAGAATATTATATACAAGAAATACATGGTATCAAAATACTGCTCTCTGCTCCCTAGAAGAATCCCCTCATTTTGTTCCTAACGATCTGTTATAAATAAGGGCAGACACCCCACACCAGGTAGACCAAAGGAGCAGTGCCTGGTCTACTTGCGAGATGTGAACATATTACCTGGCACAGTGTTCCGGACGGTGTGTCGTTGCCCAGGTCTGTGTTGGTCGGCTGAATCCTCACTCGTCACCATACACGTCTCATGAAAGGGTTTACTTCTTAGAGCGCAGGGCCACGGGTATCGTCACTGAAGTTGGTGAGCCGTGTTTCGGGGACAATACAAGCGTAGTTGGTCCTCTTCCTTTGGCTCTGGAGGGCCAGGGGGTGGGGATGTAAAACCGCAAGTCCCGTCACTCCCAGCTGATGTAATGGAAAGATTGCATCCTGTGTTTAGTCTTATCCTATCCCTACATGTATCGTCGTACAGCTCACCTTTAGGCTGTTCTGGAGTGAGCTGAACTCGGATGTTTCCTAGTTGTGTTCATGACCCTCGAGAGTAGCCGTGTAAAATTACTCTTCAGTGATTCATTTCCATTTTTTCATTGTTTGAGTTGTTCTTACTCTTTTTATTCAGTGTCAGCACTGTTTTTAAGAAACACTTTCTGAAATCTCAGAAATAATCTTCGAACAGGGAGGCCTGGCTGGCTTAGTCCGTGGGGCAAGCAGCTCTTGAACTCAGGGTTGTGAGTTCCAGCCCCACATTGGGTACGGAGCCTACTTGAAATAAAATTAACAAGTTAAAAAAAGAAACTCTTCGAACAGAGTAGTAGTACTGCCTAAGTTATAACCATAATACTTAGTTAACCCGGCTTCGTGATTCCATCAGTCTGAGGACACTTGTGTATCTGTTCCTCTTACAGTGAAGGAAGAGTGGTATGCCAGAATCACTAAATTACGAAAGATGGTAGACCAGCTTTTCTGCAAAAAATTTGGTAAGTCTCATTTTCCCCGTGGCTAAACTGTATTACTGAATACGTTTTCCCAGTTTTGCTTTAAGAAAGTAAAACAGTGAATGTGACTCCCCTCTACTTTTTCTTAATTGGTGAATAGCGTACATTAATCGTAAAAAGGTTTCAGCACAGGGGAGAGGACCGTGCGCCGAAAGCCCCGGGAGCTCTTTCCCGGGG